GCGATAATCACTACCCTGTACCTTACTCACCCTCTACACTACTCGCTGTCAGCCCATAACCCCAGCACATACCCGCGATAATCACTACCCTGTAGCTTACTCACCCTCTACACTACTCGCTGTCAGCCCATAACCCCAGCACATACCCGCGATAGTCACTACCCTGTAACTTACTCACCCTTTACACTACCGTTGTCAGCCCATAACCTCAGCACATACCCGTGGATAGTCCCTACCCTGTAGCTTACTCCCCTTTACACTACCCGCTTGTCAGCCCATAACCCCAGCACAATTACCCGTGGATAGTCCCTACCCTGTAGCTTACTCCCCTTTACACTACCCAGTTGTCAGCCCTAACCCCAGCACATACCCGCGATAATCAATACCTGTAGACTTACTTACCCTTTACATACCGCTGTCAGCCCATAACCAGCACATACCGTGATAGTCCCTACCCTGTAGCTTACTCATCCTTTACACTACCCGTTGTCAGCCATACCCAGCACATACCCACGATAGTCCCTACCCTGTTAGCTTACTCACCTTCTACACTACCGTTTGTCAGCCCATAACCCAGCACATTACCCGTGATAGTCCCTATCCTGTTAGCTTACTCACCCTTTACACTACCTGTTGTCAGCCCATAACCCAGCACACATACCGCGATAGTCACTACCCTGTAACCTACTCACCCTTTACACTACTCGCTGTGTCAGCCCATAACCCCAGCACATACCGCGCGATAATCACTACCCTGTAGCTTACTCACCCTCTACACTACTCGCTGTCAGCCCATAACCCCAGCACATACCCGCGATAATCACTACCCTGTAGCTTACTTCACCCTCTACAACTACCGGTGTCAGCCCATAACCCAGCACATTACCTGCGATAGTCCCTACCTGTAGCTTACTCACCCTTTACACTACTCGCTGTCAGCTCATAACTCCAGCACATACCCGCGATAGTACACTACCTTGTAGCTTTACTCACCCTCTACATACCGCTGTCAGCCCATAACCCCAGCACATACCCGCGATAGTCCCTACCCTGTAGCTTACTCACCCTCTACACTACGCCGTTGTCAGCCCATAACCCAGCACATACCCATGATAGTCCCTACCCTGTAGCATTACTTACCTTTTACACTACCGCTGTCAGCCCATACCCCAGCACATACCCGGCGATAGTCCCTACCTTGTAGCTTACTCACTTTTACACTACCCGTTGCAGCCCATACCCCAGCACATACGCGACAGTCACTACCTTGTAGCAAAATGAAATGAACATATCTGCTGAATTAAACTCTTCCACGCCTGATGTGATGACAGCTGACCGGATGTTGGCTGCATGATAGGTGTAGGTATGGTAACAGATGACTGGTAAATTTGATGATAGGTGTAGGTGCGGTAACAGATGACTGATACATGTGATGATAGGTGTAGGTATGGTAACAGATGACTGGCACATGTGATGATAGGTGTAGGTGCGGTAACAGATGACTGGTACATGGGATGATAGCGGTAACAGATAACTGGTACAGATGTACATTAGTAACATTACAATCGAAACAGGTATGATGAGAGGTGTCAAGTGCAGGTACGGCAATTAATGATGGCAACACATATAGTGATAGGTGAGGAAATAGGCTATAAATCAAGTGCATGTATAAATATTAATAGATATGTCATACAGTCATAATAGCAGTTTTAGCAGTTTGAGTTGAAATATTTATGTTACCATGTATATATATATATATATATGTAAGTATCTATAGCAAAATATCTGCCTGTATACTAACATATAGATTGATGGTGTGGCCAGCAGTTATAGTGTATGGCGTGGTAACATTTCTGGATGCAATTAGACAGAATAGTAGGATATTAATAGGGGAATATATTGTACTCCTTTAATTTTACAATGATTGTTTTTTTAGGTATCGGCTTCATTTTCAAAGAGAACCGAAGCATGAGATCCATCGTAGGAAAGAGCTAGCGATGAGACCATTTAAACCGCTGTCTGAGGTAAAAGCAAATGTGTCTAGTTTGGCATGGATTGTAACGTGTATACACACATGTAATCTTGCCTGTACGGGTGCTAGTGATCTCATAAAATTAACATTTAGATAACATACATGTTGCTTTCTTTTCTTTAATACATATTGCAGTGTTTCTTCTGGCCAAAAAAGGTCTCTGAGGTGGTAAACGTTTTTTAGCTCATCTGACGTAGTCGGATGTAGCTTGTATAATCGCATGATCGTCCGTCCGTTCGTCCGTCAACAGTTGGGCACAAATTTTAACCGCTCGACGTACGGTCACGATATTCGGGACGTGTGTGTGTGTGTGTGTGTGTGGGTGGTGGGGGGGGGGGTAATCCGAAAACGAGTTGGGATGTCGAAGCTGGGGGTCAAAGGTCAAAGGTCAAGAGGTGTAAAAGAAGGGGGAACATTCTCTCCTTAACTTAAGGTATAGGGAGGAAATGCAGAATTGCGGCACAAATCAAAATGGCTCAACCTATAGGCTCGTAATAGTCGGTGTATAGCATCATGGTAGGAAAAACCATCACTGTGCCAAAGTTGGAGGACACAGGTCAAAGGTCAATGGGGCACAGGGCAGATTTTAAACATTTTCTGAGGACATGGTCTGACGGAGTGATTGAAAAACCTTTTTGTTTTAGCGTTGACCTAGCATTTTTATGGCTTTATTGAAAGGACCATGAAATGTACTTTCTGCTGACATGCGAAGAGTAAGTGTCGGATAACCTTTTGACCCTCAGGAGGAGGGTTAAACATGGATTTGTTTAATGTTAGAAAGATATTGACTGCCTGGGTTTGCTAGTAGAATCTATACATGCCTGGATGTATGAGGCTACAATGTCACAGTGAAATTTCAAAAGCTAAATTTGGTTGAAGAAGGTTTATGCTCCTTAAATCGTATAATTTCTATGGCATTCTGTACTGTCAGTGTGTTACATGTAACTTATGCCACTGCCAGTGCATGTAGTGGTGATAGTACTGTGTAGTTTTTGCCTGCGTTAATTGGTTACAGGTGGCAGCTCTCTATTTAAGCCTGTAGGCTTGCGTAGGTAAATGGATGAGTGCGTACCTATTCTGTCTTGCAAATAGTTGTTGCTACTACGTATGATGGGAGCTTCCATCTTTAATCTGAAGACACTTAAACGTACGCGCCATCTCATGGCAACTTTCATAACGATCCCAACGAACATTCTTTCGAGAAGTTTCCTGATACTATCCCTGTGCCTTCCAATGTTTCGGGGTGTATGTGAACACATTTGGGACTAACAGGGTTTACTAGAATCTCACCACTCCACCACAGAGTCACCGCAGTAGACGTTAGATGAGCGCTGTCGCTCCGCGGCACTTGTTTGTGATGTGTTTGCGCTTTTCGAAGTCCTAGCAAAGCGAGCAACGCAGGTGCTGGTCAAGCTAGGGGGTCTGGGGGCATGCTCCCCCGTGAAATTTGTGGAAAAATGGTGCAATTTCGTGCATTCTAAGCTATTCTGAACACATTGTATCAGACTCTTGAATCTCTTTCTCAAGTTGTCAAAAGTTTTGTCAGCGAGGCGGTGTTTTGGACAAATTTCTGTGTGGCGGCTGAGAATTTGAGCGAGGCGGGCCACCTTGCTCGTGTCAATGCAGAGGAAACACTGTATTATGAATTCGTAGCAACAGAAAATGTTGGAAGATAACACTTAATTATATTCTCCAAACCGAATACAGTATATGTGTATATCAGGGGTCATTAATCTCAGATTTCAAGGTTATTTTTTAATTACTACTAGTGTATATGTGTGTTTTTGTTAACGTATTGCTAGATTGCACTTGAGATCTCTTTGGAGGATATTTACCGGCCTGGCACAGCTGTTGACATGCCCAAGCGTCCTGCATGGAACTATTCAATGAGTAAAGAGAAGGTGGAAGCACAGGAAGAGAGAATGTTTATGGTAAACAATAAGATTAAAAGTCTTTGTATAAGGATCATAGGCACCTACCTATAAGTTTAGCTCATAGGGTCTATGTCTCCCAGGGTACTGCCGGAACGTACCCTGGTAATTATCTGATATGGTTAGGGTTAGGAGTAGGCGTAGGCGGCTCCCTAGACTCATTAGTGGAGTAGGCGAGGTACGGTCCGGCATAAATTATTAGATAGTACCTGCATGGGTACGTTCCGGTATACCGGCCCGTACCCAGGGTACGTTCTGGCAGTACCCTGGGGGACATAGACTCTCTCAGCATAAGTATATGTGTAATAATACAAGTGGTAATAGCAAATTCGAATGTAATTACATATAAACATATATTGAGGTCATTGTGACGTGAATTTGCATATTTGTAATAACAATGTTTACGTTTGGTATGTCCTTATAGTTATTTGATTTTTGATAAATTGTGTGTAAATAATTATTTACAGGCATACCTAGATAAGATTTATTCAGACTTCAAGTCTGAAGAGCTTAGCTATTTTGAGCTTAACCTTGAGACGTGGCGCCAGCTGTGGAGAGTTTTGGAAATATCTGACATTGTGCTGCTTATCACAGACATACGGTTTCCAGTGAGTATATGATTATATCATCATTATCATTATAGTGGATGCTCTCTAGCTATTGTTTCAGTGGCATCATGTATGTATGTATTGATTGATGGTTGATGGTTTGGGTGTGCATTGTATATTAGTTTGGAAGGCATGGCTTTGCACTTGTGTGTGTTTGTGTGTCAAAGTAAGTGTTTGGCTTGATGTTCATAAATGCAAACAATGCATGAATGTGTGGATCTGTGTGTATACATGTATTTTTGTGTATAGACCTTGAATGCGTGCACGTGTTTTGTGTGCATATGGGTGAGTGTGCGTATGTGCATGTGTAATTCGGAGTATTTCTTTATCCGCATATTATTCGTTCAAGTTTAGATACTTGCATTTTTAGATTTAGAGGCTAGATAACGTTTGTCAACTGCATTCTCTACCCTTACCGATTCACATCAAACCCACTGTCCTTGCAGGTGGTGTACCTTTTTACCAAATATTAAACCCACTGTGCTTGCAATACATTTCATTACTACATTACGTAATAAACCCACTATCTTTGCATGCATTTCATTACTACATTATGTAATAAACGCACTATCCTTGCAAGAATTTCATTACTACATTACGTAATAAACCCACTATCCTTGCATGCATTTCATTACTACACTAAGTAATAAACTTACTATCCAATATGCAGGCACTAAATTTCTTTACTACACATTAAACCCACTATCATTGCAGGCACTGCACTTCTCGCCAGCACTCTACAGTTACATTATAAAGGAGTTGAACAAGGATGTCGTGCTTGTTCTGAACAAGATTGACCTCGCGCCAGCATCCCTTGTCGCCGCATGGAAGAACTACTTTCAGGAGCGCTTTCCCAAGTTACACATCATCTGCTTCAGCTCGTATCCAAAAGATCCGCGTGAGCAAGGCATGCTAGATCCCAACAAGGGTGAGGGTCGGGGGTTGTTGGCATGACACCTTTGTTGTTTAGCGTTGTATCGTAGCATTCGGTTTGTTTCACATTTTATTCGTGGTTGCCTTGTAATATTGAGCTCACCCCCACAGCTGTAATTACTATTACCTAATAATCTCAAGCTCTCTCGCACATGATTTATTAGCACCACTTTGTAATGTTGAGTTCGCTCCCACAACTTTGATTAGCATCATCTTGTAATTAATGTCTACACCCTTCCCCACATCTTTAGTTGGCGTCACATTGTAATGCGCACTTCGTCCTACATGTTCTTTTATAGTCATCATGTAGAGTGTAGCTCAGCCAATATATTCATTTTTATTCATCTAACTAGAAATGTCTTCCTCGTCTCATGTCTGTATCTATTTATTGTCTTCTGGAAGTCATTCCTTTTCTGTACTGTTTTATGTGTTGAATTGATTTATATTCAGTAATTCGTCGAGGAAAATCAATGTTAAGGCATGTGATTAAACAGAAGATTGATTCGTTAATTACCATTCAAATGGCTTATTTGACTCCATTAAGTCTGTTAAAATTAGTTTTGATTGTGTTGATAGATGTGACTACCACTAATAGCATGCTTATTAATCTACTTATTGAATATTTTGATTACCATCGAGTTTTTAATCTTGCAATCAATTCCACGTGCAGTGTTTCATAAGAAGAGAGTGAAGACGAAAAAGAGGTTTATCACGATCGGACCACAGGACCTATACCAAGCCTGTGAAGGGATTGTCAGTGGAAAAGGTGCGCTGTAGCAGTAGCTTCTAATTTTTAGTGTGCGATCATTGATGAACAAAGCGAACATATGAAGTACGTTATCACATGCGTTAAGTGCAACTATAACTAAGGCCGACCTAAAAATTACCTTTAGTTTGGGTCACCCGCCCGACTTCACATTTCAGAGTGATAAAATGTGCGACTGCGGTCACTTTTAGAGGGTTTCAAGAAAAAATAAAATTCAAAGATACCGCCTGCCGATCATACATATTCAAATATCCGACTCTTGTCATTTTATTTACCTAAGGAGAGTTCCAAAATATTTATAAACAGAACTTCGTTGGCGCGAAGTGAAACAGTTCCTAACTACGTTTCCTAGAATCCTACAACGTGAAACAGTCGTATCGAGCCTGGGCCGGCTACTTCATAAACAGAGCCTGAAGGTCGTATGCCGCGGCGGCCGGCTTTGATGTACGCGATCAATCGCGTACTATATAGTATACGCATGCTATCGTGCTATACGCGGCCGCAGAGCCGTTTACACTTCGGTTACTCGCTCGTTTAAAGGGACGATTAATCGAGCTCCGTTTTTGGAGCGATTCCTAACACTACTATCCAGTACACGACACGAATACCAGTACACGACACCAGTAAACGACTGGTGTTCACATTTTGAAAACAATGTCATGACTTGCAGCAATGGTACATGCAACTGCAAGTCATTTGCATCTCGTGGCTCCTGCATTTCAAGCTGTATATATTTAACTTGTGAAGAAAAAAAATTATATTCCTGCCTACCCATGTTTTTACAGAAAAAAAAGTTAAAAAAAAAATGTTATACCGACCTACCTACCCTAATTTTCACAATCCATGTGACCCGAACCAAAGGTATTTTTTTGTTTGGCTTAAGTATCAGTAGTATTTAGGTACACAAATCAGTTGATGACAAGATTATTGATTTACCTGGGAGTGTGAGGGTCCCGGCAAAGTCCCATCTCGTGGGAGGGAATATTATTTATTCTTTAATTGTGGATTGGACAATATATGACCCAAAGCTTGTGTTCGGTTGAAATCTCGCGGCCATGGAATTTTTTTTTTTTAATCAGGACTTCTGGGAAACTGGAAAATTGTTTAGCCTCAGATGTACCAATCTCTTTTATTATGTGTTTGCAGTGGACCTGCAAGGCTGGAAAGAGAGAATTGCCGAGCAGATGGAGTTTGATGACAATGATGAAACTCACGAGAATGAGGCCATTGTTCAGGAGGATTCTCTGCCAGATGGCACCAGCGATGTTCGTTACAAGAATGGCATCCTCACCATAGGCTGTGTTGGTAGGTTGGGCTGCACAAGAGTGCTGTTTTTATCAGTATTTTCTGCGTATTGTATCTCAAAGGTGAGATGATGCATCATTTCAGCTTTAAAAATCCATTGATAAATATGATAATGAGTTATATATGTTAATGGTTATCATGTGTTATTTAGTAGTATGTAAATATGTAATATCGTAACATCATTCATAAATGATTAAATATAGAATTTCACCTCTTTAATAAAATCACGTAACACTCATATTTAGTAAAAAAATTATTCTGTAAAACCTTTGCTTTAGTGCTCATTTCTGTTCTGAACTGTAACATCTTAAATAAGAGTTGTATATTTGGTTTAGCCTAGGCATAGGGTTCAGAATTAGGGTTGTGGTTAGCAATTGATATAGTTCTGGGTATAGTTTTGCTTTCAGTTATAGTCATGCCTGTTACATAGTTTATACACCTATCACTTTTTTTGTGTGCAGGCCATCCCAATGTTGGCAAGTCGTCGTTGCTTAATGGACTTGTTGGTCGCAAAGTGGTCAGTGTGTCAAAGACACCTGGGCACACGAAACACTACCAGACTATTTTCTTGACTCCCACCGTGCGTCTGTGCGACTCTCCCGGTCTTACGTTTCCATCAGTCATCGAGAAACCATTGCAGGTAAGTGATGTGTAGATGATTGTGTGCAATCGAGTTGATAGAGTGTGTTATTTATTTGTGATATCTATTAATTGGGAGGACAGCCATGTCCATGGTACTTTTTAATATATTTAAAGGGATACTTTCCCCTAGAATTTGAGAGTATATTATGATGTAGATTCCTAAATAATAGCATATACCTACAAATTTATATAATTACGCGTTCACGTTTGTCATAAAACAACATTGAATTTCGATATCTTCATTTTTGGGCACTGACATGACACCCGCGATCGTGCTGCCACCCTGAAAAGGTTGCAGAAGGGGAGTGAGTTTATGGTGGGGCAGGTGTAGGCACGGGGTGGGGGAGTTGAGTGAGTGTATGGTGGGGTAGGTGTAGGCACTAGGGGGAGGGAGGTGAGTGTATGGTGGGGTTAGGTGTAGACACTGGGGGGAGAAAGCGAGGCAGGCAAAAGCCAAACAGAGATGGTGGGTGAGGGAGAAAGGTATAGAGTGTGGGAGAGAGAGTGGGGAGAGAGAGAAAAAGACTGAGGTAAGGGAGAGAAGGGAGAAAAGAAATACAAAAGGGAAAGATTGATCTACAGATTACTTTCCTACTTGACTACAGATACTGTCGGGCATCTATCCCGTGGCTCAGGTTCAGGAGCCCTACACGGCTATCGGCTTCCTCGCTCAGAGGATCCCACTAGTCTCCGTGCTCCACCTCAAGCCACCCGACTATGTCGTCAGCAAACCGACAAGCGCTGCCGTCGAGTGGACAGCGATCGACATATGTGAAGGTAGGCGATTTCCTACGTGGCTTTCACGGACTAGAGCTTCGTAACAGGGACGGCTTCCTCTGCCTCTGTGCGTAGACGTGTGCAAACATTTGGGTTCGAAACATTATTCGTACTTGACGTGGTTTTCGGCGCGACTAATCAGTGTGGTGTGTTTACGTGTCAATACCATGGCAGAGGGCTGATTCCAGAAAAGCTGTCAGAGCCACTGGGCATCCTCGTCGATTTCTCGTTCCAATATAGTAGAGACGGGAGCGAGGATACACCTTTTGCAACTTGTACAATTTTTCCAGCTGGCACATGCCCTGAGTGCATGAACAACCCTGAAAGTTTTATTTCTATTTCTATTTCTTTTTATTTCTATTTCTTACGTGAACTTGATATAACCTTATGTGTAACTAATAAGGTGTCAGTGTACGAATGTCTCGGCGCTGCCGAGAAAACATCCTCTCTCATAATGCGGCTATTGAATCACATCGACGACTCGCAACGCATGTCTGTTCATGTTGTGATGGCGACATACGCGATGTAAGCTCGTCACTGTATTGTATCTTGCAGCGTGGGCTGAGAAGCGCAATTTCAAGACGGCGAAGGCAGCGCGCAATGACGTGTATCGCGCTGCGAACAACCTTCTGCGGTTCGCGCAGGAAGGCCGGCTGCGCTTGTGCCTACGCCCGCCGGGATTCACCAAGCAGAAAGGTACTTGTGTTCGATCACTGCCCACCATGCACCCACGGCCGTGGTGGGGTAGATGAGGGCGTGGTGGGGTAGATGAGGCCGTGGTGGGGTAGATGAGGGCGTGGTGGGGTAGATGAGGACGTGGTGGGGTAGAAGAGGGCGTGGTGGGGTAGATGAGGACGTGGTAGGGTAGATGAGGGTGCGGTGGGGTAGATGAGGGTGTGGTGGGGTAGATGAGGGCGTGGTGGGGTAGATGAGGGCGTGGTGGGGTAGATGAGGACGTGGTGGGGTAGATGAGGGTGTGGTGGGGTAGATGAGGGTGTGGTGGGGTAGATGAGGGCGTGGTGGGGTAGATGAGGGTGCGGTGGGGTAGATGAGGGTGCGGTAGGGTAGATGAGGGTGTGGTGGGGTAGATGAGGGTGTGGTGGGGTAGATGAGGGTGTGGTGGGGTAGATGAGGGTGTGGTGAGGTAGATGAGGGTGTGGTGGGGTAGATGAGGACATGGTGGGGTAGATGAGGGTGTGGTGGGGTAGANGCCGTGGTGTGGTAGATGAGGGTGCGGTGGGGTAGATGAGGCCGTGGTGGGGTAGATGAGGGTGTGGTGGGGTAGAAGAGGGCGTGGTGGGGTAGATGAGGGTGTGGTGGGGTAGAAGAGGGCGTGGTGGGGTAGATGAGGGCGTGGAGGGATAGATGAGGACGTGGTGGGGTAGATGAGGCCGTGGTGGGGTAGAAGAGGGCGTGGTGGGGTAGATGAGGCCGTGGTGGGGTAGATGAGGGCGTGGTGGGGTAGATGAGGGCGTGGTAGGGTAGATGAGGCCGTGGTGGGGTAGATGAGGACGTAGATGAGGCCGTTTCTGTGGTGCGGGTAGCATTGAGGCGTGTGGTGGGATAGATGACGGGCGTCGTGGGCCCGGTAGATGAGGGCGTGGTAGGGTAGATGAGGGTTGCTGGTGGGGTAAGATGATGCCCTGGTGGGGTGAATGAGGGGTGTGGGTGGGGTAGAAGAGCGGGCGTTGGTTGGCGGTAGATGAGGGTGCTGTGGGTAATGAGGCCGTGTGGGTGGGGTCAGATGAGGGCGTGGTAGCGGTAGATGAGGGCTGTGGTGGGGTAGATCGAGGCCCTTGTGGGGTAGATGAGGCGTGGTGGATGGGGTAGATTGGGGTGTTGGTGGGGGTAGATTGAGGGTATCTGTGGGTGCGGATAGATGAGGGCGTTGGTGGCGGCGTAGATGCGACGGCGTGGTAGGGTTAATGAGGGCTTGTGGTGGGCGCGGTGTAGATGAGGCCTGGTGGGGTGATGAGGGTGTGGCGGTGGGTAGAAGAGGGCGTGGTGGGTCGTAGATGAGGGTGCGGCTGGCGTTAGATAGGCACGTGGTGGGGTAGATGAGGTGTGGTGGGGAGAAGAGGGCGTGGTGGGTAGGATGAGGGTGTGGTGGGTAGAGAGGGCGTGGTGAGGGTAGATGAAGGGCGTGGGAAGGGATTAGATGAGGACGTGGTGCGCGTAGAGAGGCCGTGGTGGGTTAGTAGAAGAGGCCGTGTGGGGTAGGATGAGGGCCGTGGTGGGTAGATGAGCGGGTGTGGTGCGGGTAGATGAGGGTGTGGGTAGGTAGATGCAGCGGTGATGGTGAGGTAGGAAGAGGGACACGTGGTGGGGTAAATGAGGGCGTGGCTGGGGTAGATGAGGGCGTGGTGGGGTAGATGGAGGGCCGTGGTGGCGGTAGAGGAGGGCGTGGTGGGCGTAGATGAGGCGTGTAGGTAGGGCGGAGATGAGGCGTGTGGTGAGGTAGATGAGGTCGGTGGTGGGGTAGAAGAGGGTAGGCGTGGCCCGCCGCCCTGGGGTAGATGAGGGCGTGGTGGGGTAGATGAGGGCGTGGTGGGCGTAGATGAGGCCCGTTGGGGTAGATGAGGGTGTGGGGGTAATGACGAACGTTGGTGGGGTAGATGAGCGGTTTGGGGGGTAGATGAGGTCGTGGTGGGGGGATAAGATGAGGCGTGGTGGGGTAGATGAGGGACGTGGGGGGGTTAGATGCAGGTGTGGGGAGGCCGGTAGATGAGGGCGTGGTGGCCGGTAGATGGAAGCGCGTCGCGTGGGCGAAGATGAGGCCGTTGGGTGGGCCGTAGATGAGGGCGTCGGTGGGGTAGATGAGGGATGTGGTGGGTACATGAGGGCTAGTTGGTGGGCGTAGAGAGGGCTGTGGTGGAGCGGTAGATGAGGGCGTGGTGGCGGTAGATGAGGTCGTGGTGTGGGTAGAATGAGGGTGTGGTGGGGTAGATGAGGACGTGGTGGGGTTTAGCATGAGGGGGTGTGGTGGGTAGATGAGGACGTGGTGGGTAGATGAGGGTGTGGTGGGCGTAGATGAGGTGGTGGGGTAGATGAGGTCCCGTGGTGGGGGTTAGATGAGGTTGTGGTGGGGTAGATGAGGCGTGGGTGGGGTAGATGAGGACGTGCCGGAGGTAGATTGAGGCATTGAGGTGGCGGTACATGTGTGGGGTAATGTTAGCCTCAAGGAACGATCTTGCTAGGGTTAGAAGACCGGTATAGACAATCGTCGCAGCAGCACTGGTCGGGCTAGGTAGATGTAGGCACTGGGGTGAGAGTGGGTGAGTGTATGGGTGTAGGTGTGAAGCACGGGCTGGGGCTATGGTGGGGCAGTGTAGCACTGGGGGGAGGGGTGTGAAGACACTGTGGAGGGGGGGTGAGTGTATGGTGGGGTAGGTGTAGGCACTGGTGGGGGTAGTAGGTGTAGGGGGGTAGGCTTAGACACTGGGGAGGAGTGTATGGTTGGGTAGGTGTAGGCATGCGGGGTGTATGGTGCGGTAGGTGTAGGCACTGGGGGGGGGGGTATGGTGGGGTAGGTGAAGATATGGGCCTTGCCTGGAATAAATGTGGCCTTCCATTGTGCGATAGATGCTGTTTTCCTCTGTGTAATAAGCATGCAATTTTGCTGTTTTTTACCATTGTCCAAGATTTAAGAAAATTAAAACACTGAAAACGTGTAAAGGTTGCACGGTCAAGGTTTTGTATCCCTATATTATCAAATAATTATTCATTTATATGTGATTTAATTTGATTATTAAAATGTATGTATATGTAATCAAATAGTTATTGATTTATCTGTTGTTTAATTAAATTATATACGTAATCAAATTGATAGTTATTGATTGATATCTATTTAATACTAATTACAATCACAAATATTCTTTCAAAGTGTTGTGCAATTTTGGTGTTGATCCCAAAAAATTACCAATTTTACAAATTAGAGGCATCATTTTTAATTGTGTTTACTCAAATTTGCACAGCTCAATATTTCATCATATTTCCCTTAGAGATGATGGATTTATTACTACATTAATTTGTTATGGATTAATTTGTTATGTAAGTTATACGGCAATGAAGCCATGCTCTAGGCCGTGGATGCTGCGTGAGGAATGTGAAATGGGTGTCTGCATTACTTTACAGCGACTGTTTGAAAGACTTAGAGGTTGGTGTGTTAGCATAACAAAATGGAAATTTTGGGAACCTGTAGAAGAATTTTGAGCTAAAAGTATCGTGAATGGATAGGAAACATGAATACTGCGGGTAGATGATCAGTTCCTATAACCATTACTAGCACGTTGCAGGACGTTAATAGGATTGCAAGTAATAACAACTTGGTACTAAATCGACATTTTGTCACTAACTTTCGCACTGTGTGAATTTACGATTAGGATGTCATCATTGCCATTCAGTCGAGCTCGTTGTGGCACCGGGGCGTAAACACGTGATCTGTCGGTGTTAATAGCTCGCACATTAGCGCACAGCAATGATTAATTGCAGCCATATCCATCCCTATGAAACATGGCTTCGTTTACTTGATTGGTGGCAGCTGATAGCGGTTTGTGCAGCCGCGCATGTGCGCTGTGAACCGATCTCAGCGGCCATCTACATGTGTTCCGTCTGATAGAGTTAGTCCAATGAATGCGCCCTGTAAGCTTGTGTCAACTTACTTTTACCTCTCTGGTAACAGCTGCCGGAGTTAGTCTAGCGTACACGCGCCCTGTAAGCTAGTCTAGGCGTGGTTTAATCCATTACATAAATAGCTGACAAGGGTAATACAGCGTGTAGGTACCCCGTAAGCTATGCTCTGTAATCTAGGCTAAGCGTCGTTTAATGTCGAATGTCAGTAGCTGTCGAGGTTAGCACACAGTGAATGTGCCCTACGTTCATACTTAGCACCATGCTGTATGTATCTCTATGCTATATATGTAACTGTGCTGGAGCAGTAAGCATGTAACTGCTATGCTATATGTAACTATGCTATAACGCTGTGCTATATGTACCTATACTATAATGCTATGCTATATGTAACTATGCTATAACACTATGCTATATGTAACTATGCTGTAGCAGTAAGCAGCATGTAACAATGCCATAACACTATGCTATATATGTAACTATGCTATAATTCTATGCTATATGTAACTATACTATAACACTATGCTATAACTCCGCGCTCACCCAGCACACACGAGTGTTCTTGTGTTGCAGAGATGTGGGAGCGTCACGCCGACACACGGCTCATCGCCGCACGGCAGAACCTCAACGCTGACAGGGACTCGAGCGACGACCTTGCGTCGACCTCCGACCCGTTCTCGAGCTGCTCGAGCGACGACGACGAGGCTGACAAGGCAGATAAGAGCAGTAGTGAGACGGAGGCGACCGGCACCGAGCGCGTGCGCCTCACAAACCCCTACGCGCTATTGACAGGCGACGAGTGACATCACGCGGCGATGGTGTCCGCGTGGCCGATGCTTACTCGCTATTGGCTGGCACCGAATGACATCACTCGGCGATGGCATCCACCTGGCCGATGCTTACTCACTATTGGCTGGCACCGAATGACATCACGCAGCGGTGGCGTCTACGTGGAGGATGCTTAGTCGCTTTTAACTGGCAACGAGTAACATCATGTGGCAAAGGTTGCTGCCTAAGCGACACTTATTTGCTATTGGTTAAACAACGTTGTGATGTCATCACGGCAGAGCGTGCTGCTTGGCCGATGCTTAGGTGCTAATAAGTGAGACTCGCTAGTAGTAAGTGAGATCATAGGATGAATCACGAATGTGTCAGTGTAGGGAAAGATGCAGTGAGGAGAATCCACCGTGGCGTTGTAGAGGCTCATGGTTAATGTCTCACTGAATGGGAGGTGTCTTGTGAGGCGGAAGATTTATGTAAGCGACCACACAGTGATGCTGTGGTTGGCGGCGGTGCAATGTCACCGGGTAGGACAGTATTGGGGAGTTATCATGCAGAGCACAAGCCATCGTCACCATTGTGTGATGTCAGTGGGATGATCACGTGGTAATAAGGTCTTGGTGACAGCCTTAAAGAAGAAAATCACCTGGGAATTATTGTTAGGTTTACGAGACTCGCCAGTCCTTTTTGCTGTCAAGCGTTTTTGTAGTAAAATGCAATGCGAACACTTATTTGCGAATTTTTGTGCTTTTTCAAAAGTAGAACGTATTTTTGCTATCATATCGTTTCATATATCCGCCCAGCTCCGTGATGCATCCTACGGGAAGCATTCATTAATGAAGTTAGGTATATTAAAATACTATAGTCCATTGTTTGTATATATGAGTGCATGCATGTGTTCCATGTGTCTGTGCCCGTATTTGTGTGTTTGCGCATGTGTATGTGTGTGTTTGCGCATGTGTATGTGTGTGTTTGAGCGTATATGTATGTATTTGTATCGTGTGTGGGCAGGTATGTCATGTTTGTAGTGTGTGTGTGCGCGCGCGCGCGTGCATGCATGAGCGCAGGCGTGTGTGCGTTCTCCTATTCTGCAGCATTTTCCATCTTCTACTCGCTGCATTGCTGCTCTACTAATTCTAGCATTGACCCTGTAATCTATACTGCAGACAAGCTCGGGTGATATCGCGATGAAACCCCGCTCTCACTCTTACGTCTGCTCGCAAGTCGCAGGTGAGGGAGGTAACTCTTGCAGTCCTGTGTTGTCGGTTTGACCGAAGTTTGGGGTATCCTGCGTGGGTGGCAGCTCGCACAGCGCTGTACGTCACCCTGGCTGTAAGTTTAGTCATGCTTCCTGGTCTTCCCGTGGAGCTGGAGACTTCTGATGCAATTAACTAGAGTTTATTTGTATTTGTCCTGCGCAAGAATTGTGTATCACACTGCGCCTCATTTTTGCCGTCTACCTCTTGTCTGCGTGGGTGCGTGCGTGTATGCGTATGCGTGCGTGCGTGTATGCGTGTGCGTGCGAGAGTATCTCTGTGCGTGCGTGTATGCGTGTGCTGCCTGCGTGAGTATCTCTGTGCGTGCGTGTATGCGTGTGCGTGCGTGAGTATCTCTGTCCGTGCGTGTATGCGTGTGCGTGCGTGAGTATCTCTGTGTGTGTGTGTGTGTGTGTGTGATGTGTGTGTTTGTGTGTTGTGTGTGTGTGTGTGTGTTTGTGGTGTGGTTGTGTGTGTGATGAGTGTAGTGAGTCGTGCGTGCGTGTGTGCGTATGCGCGAGTCTGTGTGCGTGCGTACGTGATACCCGTGCGTGCGTGCGTGTGTGTGTATGCGTGCGTGCGTGCGTGCGTGCGTGTGTGTGTGCGAGCGTGTGTGCGTATGCGCGAGTCTGTGTGCGTGCGTACGTGATGTGCGTGTGTGTGTGTGTGTATGTGTGCGTGCGTAGGCCCCTACGTGATGTGCATGAGTGCGCGCGCGCGTGCGTGCGTGTGTTAATGTGCGTGCGTGCGCGTGTGTGTGTGTGTGTGTACCACGCAATTATCACCACAGTGCTAACTAGACAGAGGGCACTCACGGAGAGTGCATACCTCCGCCAGCATGTAACATGTATGTGTTACGAGCTGGCTCGCCGCTCGCTGCTGGCTGCTGCTGACTGACTCGCCTGCTGCTGACTTGCCGCTCGCTGATGGCTGCTGCTGACTGACTCGCCGCTCGCTGCTGGCTGCTGCTGACTGACTCGCCTGCTGCTGACTAGCCGCTCGCTGGTGGCGGCTGCTGACTCGCTGCTCGCTGGTGGTTGCTGCTGACTCACTCGTCTGCTGCTGACTCGCCGCTCGCTGACTGGACGCGCTATCGATCGCGCCGCGCGGACTGGACACACACACGAGACCGATTACATTACCTCCCCTCCACTCCACTCCGTTACTCCGTTAACTCCGTGGGCGGAGGTAATAATATATAGTGTTCACGTGTGCAGTAATTAATGTATGTTGGCGAGTTTGTCACGCAAGTATCAACCATGTGCTAATAATATAATTCTGGTGCTGATGTGTTTTTCCATGGTTAAAATATAGTGTCGATCCTGATATTATAATGCCGGTCTTTATAATATAATGCTCGATTAACCCTATCCTAGAACTGCACTTCATAACATGGTATCAGGAGTCTATCAATATTGATAGACTCTTGATGGTATCGGTATTTGCTGTATACGGGCTAGTGTGAATAAAGGTGACAGGGTGAATAGTATAGTGCAGTGGTGAATAATATAATGCGCCGGTAAATGATATGCAAGAGTGAACGATATATAGTGTCATGGTGAATGATGCTGACAGAGTACGGTACAGTGCCGGTGCTACGTGAACATGATGTACTTTAGCAGGATTTGGTGCTGCTTTAGGTCAATAGCCGATAAAATAAATACTACACAACTCGTTAATTGTTTACTTGTTTCTGCGTGCTCTCCGCAGACGATAGCTGCCGAGTCACAGCCCGTGTGCTAACCGAATAACTGCGCGTATATCATATATTGGCAGTTATAATGCAAAATCAACGTAAAAAACGTTGAAATCAACGTATTTTGTTGTAAAAAAAACTTGTATCAGTCGTGTAAACTATTATAATAAGAGCGATTCGTGTCGACATCCCATTATCAGGTTTTGTCGGTGATGATATTATTACTTGCTGTTGATGCATGATTGTTTTTTTTTAAGATGGTGGCTGACATGGCCTAGTCATGTCCGATAATGGCCTTTGTTCTTCTGCAGTGCGCCTTGGCTAGAATTTGTGAAGTCTGTGTATTGAGTGAGAACCTAGAGCGATATACGTGAAGATGTATGCACAGCAATCCCGTGAAGTAAATTATGTTTATCTGCCAGGTACTGTCTGTTGTTGTGAGGTGATTACGTAGAGCATCAGGAAGCATGGCACAACGTGCGATCTACTGCAATCTACTGGCAGTGTAAATGATTTTTCGCTCTGTTTTCGCCCTCACGTCGCATTACTGCTCTCGCTCGCCGTCACGCGATTTCAACCCAATGGTGAGTATAAACGAATGAATTACTCGCGCTTAATCGACCGGTGAACAGTATGTGTGTATGTGCGTTTGTTATTCTTTGCTTTATACTGACTAGGCGCTCGCGGACGGGGGTGTACGTACGTGTGTGCGTGCGTGCGTGCGTGCGTGCGTGCGTGCGTGCGTGTGGGTGTGCGTGAACGCGGTAACGTCAGCTGCCTTTGTAAGCAAATGCAAACGAAAATTACGGCGAGTCACATTTACCCGACGATGTGACATTTATGGTATTAATGAACCGCCTGCGCAGGCCGGCCGGCGTGTTATGTTGCTATGCACCGAAGAGCGAGTCTTTTTGAAATAAAAGGGATATTTAATTTATCACGATATATCTCTGTTCGCGAGAATCTATTTTCGCATTTTCCGATCATCGACGTTGGCAGTTGGCCGGCGACAAGCTATTAAGCTAGCTACTCCCGGGTATAAAGAGTCGTTGAGTTAGCGCGAGCGTGAAAGTATAGTGCGGCATGGCATTAGAGATGTTCGGCGCGGCGTATTACGTGTACGCGAACGCGAATCGACAAGAGTTTCTGTGCTGACGTCATCACTTTGCGGGTATTTTCTCGCGTCATCGACAGCTACGCGGACGGATTTCACGCCTACACGAAAGCTTTCACGTAAGTCAAAAACGTGAAAAAATATTGCGATTTTTTCGTGAATTCCTTCACGAAAACACCGTTTCAAAGCACATTATACAAAATATACTTATTTAAGATCACATTGAGCTGTGAATTCGTTGTTCTTAGAAATTCGTTTCAGGAGAAATATGACGATCAATCTGGCTACTTTCACGGCACATTTTTAAGCGGCATATTTTTTCTTCTTTAAACATCAGGCATGTCAATGCGAGATTTGCTAGTGATATTTGTTGAGATTATGTTGAAAATAGTTCTAGCACATAAGTTGGTATGTCGTCATTTTATTACTGTGTAGGTAGGCTATTTATTAAGACTATACTATCGATGGTTATGGTTATGGTTATTGTATAGAAAAAAAGTTCGGATTAAGATGGCATTTCAATGCCATGCGGTCGTGTGGATTTGTGTTGGACTCCAGGCCTCTGAATGCACATGTCTCCGAATACGCAATTTTACGAATGCCCACTTCTTCGAAGGTCCAGTTCTCTGAATGCTGAATATCTACGATTGATGACATATGCACTTCTTCAAACAGGTTAAGTTAGTGTTAGGTGTATGACTGGGTTAGGGTTGGGACAATGTGTCTGGTTAGGTTTAGGTTGGGGTTTCCATTGCAGAAGAGACATTTGGTGGAGTGGGATTCTCACTACTTCTCCAAAGCCTACTTCCTGAATCGGGTTACATAGATATGATTGAAGGTTATTGTTATGCTTAAGTTTTTTTAAGGAACTGGGCATTCAGAGAATTGTACCGAATTACCGGCTCGTCTTTAATTATTTACAAGCATGCATTTAATTAATTAAATTAGTGTATGCTTGTAACTTTACATACACGCATTTAATTAATTAAAGGCATGCTTGTAAATAATTAAAGACGAGCCTGATCTGCTGTCATATTTTCCCGCTTATACATATGTGGTTATATGGGCGTGTATAGCAGGTATGACAGCAGATCAGGCTCGTCTTTAATTATTTACAAGCATGCCTTTAATTAATTAAATGCGTGTATGTAAAGTTACAAGCATGCACGTAATTAATTAAATGCGTGTATGTAAAGTTACAAGCATGCACGTAATTTGCGTGTATGTAAAGTTACAAGCATGCACGTAATTAATTAAATGCGTGTATGTAAAGATACATGCATGCTTGTAATTCCAACCAATCAGACAAAGTCTTACAAATAATTAAACGCGTGTATGTAAAGTTACAAGCTTGCACGTAATTCCAACCAATCAGACTCGGCGTGTGGAAACGCGGGTGGTGCGCGTTGGAATTACACACACGCGTTTAATTATTACACATGCGTGTATCTTTACATACACGCATTTAATTAATTACGTGCATGCTTGTAACTTTACATACACGCATTTAATTATTTGTAAGACTTTGTCTGATAGGTTGGAATTACAAGCATGCATGTATCTTTACATACACGCATTTAATTAATTACGTGCATGCTTGTAACTTTACATGCACGCGTTTAATTATTTGTATGACATTGTCTGATTGGTTGGAATTACAAGCAT